ATGAAAACATAGATGGAGGATATGATACTTATGAGTCCTAGGATGTATATGTAGATATGCATCCTCTCTTTATGATCTATTTTTCAGATGAATTTTAGACTTAATTTTTTAGATATATAAAATCCCTTACATGAAGATCATTAATATGTAAAATAAATAAATTGATAAATAAATAATTTTGAAGGCTGAGTTTTTTTGAAGAAAATTTAAGGGGCCGTTGTTTTTTATATTTTTTGAAGGTCCACCATTTTACATCCATTTTTTGAGATGGATGTATGATGCCTCGGGGAAATGCAAATGTAGGAGTGGGTCCCCTGCGCATAAAATTCTTTTCCATATATGAACAAGACATTCAAGGAGAACTGAGAAATATGGATTAAGATCAAGTTATTTGCATGTGATAAGAGGGCGTTTGTCGACATACAAGGCTGCTGTCTTTTGTAGTGATTGGAAGCCCTTCCTCTTTTATAGTTTTTCACAAGCTAATGATTACTTATTAAATTTTAAATTGGATGATTTTGGGTGAGTAATAAAATCTGAGAACTTTTTTTTTGAACTGTGTATTTAGTGACATTCTTATAACTACCTATTTTGAAACTTAAGGGACATGAATGATTGTGACCTCCATTTACAAAAGATAAATGATCTCTTTGTAGACAATCTTGTTTTTCATGGGCATACTTCATATGATGGTTGTAAAATCATTAATGGGGATAGGACGCCATACCACTTTTAATTTTTTGATGATGATGTGAATGGAAACATTAGTGAACAGGTCAATTTCTTTTGGGTGTGGTTTCTATAAGGTTGCAACATTAAACAATCCAATTAAGGCGCACCTCCAAATTTTATCATAAAATATAATTTTGGAGTAAAAAATTCTTAGGACTATCTCAAAATCTATTTTCATATATAATTATAAAATTTTAAACTTAAAAATGGTTAAAATCAAATAGATCTGTAAACATATGAAAATCTTGAAAATGGACGGTCTAGATAATGTGTAGCAAGGTGCATTATTTCTGGGACTCAAAATATTATTATTATTATTATTTTTATATTCATACATCTTGTTAACGAGATGATTAATTAAAGGGTTTTTCAACATTAAAACAATATTTTCCGATAGATTTTTGAGGTGCATCTGTAATTCTACATTTTAAGGTGGCAACCTTATATAAACTTTATCCATTTCTTTTTACAAATAATCACAATATTCTTTTGTTTATTAAGTGTTTTTATTTGATACTCGACCCTTGCTCGAGCCGAGTTACTCGGGCGAGCTCGTGTAACTTGCTTGAGTACAATTCAAGTTAAAAAAATAAAAAATCAATACGAAACATATTTTATATGTATTATATAGCCTTCGCTTTTATGAGATTCAGTGCTAAATGACTTGATGGTCAGGTCCGCTGCCCTCCTCGATTTTTAACACCCATACTTTCTTTAAAAAAATAAAAAGAAAATGAAAAGGTTGACAAAAGAAAATAAAAAATCAACACAAAACATATTTTATATGTATTAATGCCTTCACTTTTATGACATTAAGTGTTAAATGACCTGATGGCCAGGTCCGCTGCCCTCGCTGACTTTCAATACCAATTTTTTCTTTAAAAAAATAAAAAGAAAATGATAAGGTTAACAAAAGAACATAGATGACTGAGGAATGATTCAAACCCTCACCGTCATGGGGTATAAGAATACACACAAACAAATATTTAGTTGAATGTTCATGTAAAAAATTGGCACATTATTACATATAACATGTTAATAATGTGTGTACAGTGTATTTGGAGCAAACTCGCCTAGCCCATAGGGCGAGGCTGAGTTATCAGCCGAGTCCGAATAGTCCCGGCCGAGTCTCGAAACAATGTGCTTTAATCTAATACATTCACTATGATAAATTGGTTAGCATTTGACAATTTACAAAGCTACACCCTAGGCCCAATTCCTACCAAGGGTAAGGTCCCTCTTCGTGATGACTCCCCCCAAATTAAAAGAAAAAGAAAAAAAGAAAAAGAAATAACTAAAGAAGGACTTCCCTCCATATAGGGGCCTTCAAATATGTGGCTAGTTCACAAAACCGAAAGAAGCGGCTTCAAATGGACTTCCCTCCCTAAAAATGGTGATGTTTGTTTGGGGGCATTTTGAAAACTGGCACGCGAGGAGGAATGAATGAGTTTGAGTCAGAAGTAGGCCGGGTCATGGGGCTGCTTATTGCTTAATTCCACCCCAAAACATGTATAAAAGGCCCCTCTATGCACCCTCTTCATCTCCCCTCCTTTTCTCATTCTTTCTTTTCATCGCTCTCTCTTTGTTTTGTTTCTATATCTCTCTTCTCTATCTCCATTTCGTTTCAGGGTCTAGGTTTTGTTTTGGAAATTTAGGAACGTGGAAGACTTGATGTTTTCATGCTTTCCACAGGCTTTCTTGAACATGGTACTCAGACGGGCCCTCTTCGAGTTAGTTCTCGGAGATGCGATGTTGAGCAACAGGTTCAAGAAATCTGTAGAAAAACATGGAAACAATCATAATGTTGCGTCACGTGTTTGAAGGCACAGATAATTTTATTGGGTTTTGGCATTCAATTATTCATAACTCAAAGGTAATCGTCAATGGTATGATTGCATAATCGCCCCGTTTGGATCTATAATTGAAAAAGGCACTCCATGTGCCTTTGCATGCCATCCCATTCAGCCCAAATCTAAGGCAGTTCTATAATCGCAGCTAAATTTTGGGATTTCCAAATGAATCCTTATATAAAATGCAAATATGTGTGTTAGAGAGAGACCCATTGTGATAATTCAATTATTGTTTGAATGTGAGGTTATAGTAATCTCTACTATCTATCTTATTTGAATAGTGTAAATTTACACATTTATCTAGTAAAATAATATAAATTTTACCTTTTTATTTTTATTTTTTTTATATAACTGAATTTGTACCTAGAAATTAGACTTAACAAGGGGCCGAGTTTAAATACCACAGTCAAGTACCAGTAGACTCAAACCAAGTTTTCTAACCATGATGTAGGCCAAAAATCCCAACTTTCTTCAAGGGAAATAAGATTCCTAATAGCATTTTAATATGTCCTTTAATTTAGGTATGCACTTCATTTTATAATGGTGCTGTACTTGATATTTATTCTAAAATTAAAGGGTGGGACGCATTATTGTTGTGCTTAATGTTCGTTAATTGGATGCTATGTTTAATCTCCACAATCCTTCTTGAAAATGTTAGGTAGATGTCCATTGTGCATCGTATAGCATATACTACGCAAATTCTATTTTCTGCTCTCTTTTTGGGAGTTATTTCAAGATAATATGTTTAGGGTGCAGTTGGCATGCGGATGCATCCTCTAGCGGTAAGGTGCACTTTCAAATTTTATCATGGTATATAATTTTGATGTAAAATATTATTAGGATTATCTCAAAATATATTTTTATATCTAATTATACACTTTTAAATTTAAAAAACGGTTAAAATCAAGTAGATGTATAAACATATGAAAATCTTAAAAATGGACGGTGTAGATAATATGTGGTAAAATGCACGATTTCGAGACTTAAAATTTTTTTTTTTTTCATGGTCATTGATCTCGATGTCGAGATGATCAATCAAAGGGTTTTTCAACATTAAAACTATGTTTTCCGATGGATTTTTGAGGTGCATATGTAGTTCCACATTATAAGGTTGCATCCTTATGTAAACTTTTTCCTTTGTGATATATAATTTCTTGAAACTGACCAATGCAATTTTTTGGAATATCAGTTTTAACAAGTACCCCAATTCTCTAGGTCTAGATATGCATCATGATCTCTATCTTTTAAGGAAGTTTGAATCTTCTTTTTTGGAATATCAGTTTTAACAAGTACCCCAATTCTCTAGGTCTAGATATGCATCATGATCTCTATCTTTTAAGGAAGTTTGAATCTTCTACCATGGGTAACCAGTGGCCCGCATAAATCGGTATAGAAAGACTTGCCCTTTCCTTATCTCTCATCGATATTATCTACCTCATTCAAATACATATATCCTTATTTAACGGACTTTTCATCTCTTTCTCCACATATATTTAATTTTGAATTTTTTTTTTCTAAAAGGTTTTCTATCTAGTATACATTCCTTATCATATAAGCCTCGACTGCGCAGTTTCTCATTGTTACATCCAGTCTTGAATCGATCTTTTTTCTCCATCATAAGTTTACTTTATGGAAAGTTTGTCCTTGTTCTCTCTCATAGTGTGCGTATAGGATTCCCTTTTTTTTAAAAGGGCAAGTCAGTGGGGATTTGGGCTATAACCTTTGATGAGAATCGAGCTCTCCTCGGTACTACCACCAAGGCTTCAACTTAACCGTTCGGTGACAATCGAGACACCTTATCCAATGGAGTCAAAGACCTCATCATGGGGTTCGGCAATACTACCAAGGCCCCAAAGTGAAGAAGAAGAAAAATTGCAGTCTTATTACTTTGAGGTACAATTTCTCTCTTTATATAACAGCAGTAAAAGTCAAACAAAAGAAAAAGCAACATAAAAAGTTCAGCTGATAAAATATGGATTTAGAAAAATTTGATTTACAATTAAAAGTATTTTAGAAAAAAACCCAAGAAAAATAAAATGATAAAAATAGGGAAAACGATAAGAAAAGCTCACAAATCATTGTATAAAATAAAAGTAAAAAAATTCTCCATGATTTTATTTTTGAAGTTTTTAAATACCTCGAGTTTTGCATAATACACTTCAAGAGAGGTTGATGGTGTTTTTGTTTTTGATTTCTCTTATTAAAATAATCATTGAATGTCTACTTTCTTAATATGTGAAATCTTGTTTATACATCAATTTTTTACTCTATAGATAGTTATCATGAATGATCTTGATTTTCGATACTGCTTAAAACCATGAGATGGGCTGAGCCTTTTTTTAATGTCCCAATCCCGAGTCACAGTCCAACTCGGGGTATTTGCCAGGTTTTTCCTCCGGAATAGCTAAGGTGCAGACCTGGCTCGAGTTCGAGGAAAATAATTAATATTAAGGATTGTATATTATGAGACTATTTATTTTTGAATAATTAATATTAAAAATTGTATATTATGAGACTATTTATTTTTGTTATAAAGAGATTACAATTACTTTTAATATTAGTTATCAAATGGGATGTGACGTCTAGTCCGAGCTGATTACTTGGACCGAGTCCGAGTAACTCAGATTAGTGCAAAGTAATATAAGAGCAAAAAAACAGAGTCAAAACATTATAAAAAATGTAAAAAATTTTGTTTTTTTTTTGTAAATATATGTTTAAAGTAATATTAAGCAAAACACTTCAAAATAAAGTAGTAAAGAAATAGATTTTTAAAAAAATCAACTTGTGACGGGGGTATTCTTGAAATAATCTAAAAAAATATGGAACAAATGTAAAAATAATTATTTATGGTCAAATTTCAATCTTTTCCAAAATTATAGAAAACATATCCTAAATGAATTCCTTATTTTTTAGGTTTATTTATGATTTTTTATCGAATTTGTTTTAATATCTCACTGAGTTGTCGGCTTAGCAAGTGCTTGAGCCCGAGTAACTCCGCCAAGTGGTTTCTACTTGGGTGATTTTTCAATAGCTGCTTATAACTACCACTTTTAAAATTAGCCCTAATTTGAAATTTGACGGATACAGATTTAAACTTTGACCTAATTTGAAATCTCACCGTAGAATTTCACGGATAGAAAAGTGTTAAAATATCAACTCAGTACGATTAGTACTCAGTACTCCGGATCTGGCTGAGGCGAGTCGCCTTAGTCTGGCTCTTTTCTTTTTTTTAAAAAAGAAAATAGAGAAAAAATGTTGTTATATATATATAAAATTACATACATATCCTTTTTTTAAAAAAAGAAAATAGAAAAAAATGTTGTTATATATATATAAAATTACATACATATCTGTTATAGTTTCCGTTATTACGGCTCTATCGAATAGTTTATGTTATTACTACCGAATAGTTTCTGTTATTACCACCGTATCCATTTTTTTCATGTCAAAACCACCATATCTATTTTTTATATCAAAACGAAAATTTAAAAAAAAGATAAGTTCACAATTCAAAATATTAAAAAACACCAATTTTGGCTCTTGAAAATTTAAAATAAAAAACACTTACAAAATTTATGGCTCTTGAAAATTTAAAATAAAAAACACTTTGAAAATTTATAATTAATTTGAGCCCCTAAATTTAGAGAGAGAGGTATGTAGAGGGGAAAGAGAGTTTAAAAAAAAAACCATTTTTACCCATTGAAATAGAGAGAGAGGAAGGTGGAGAGAGGATTTTGGTTATTCAAAAATCGAAATTGGCACCGTTGAAATATTTTGAAAAAAATTCATA